ACATGCACTCATACATGCACACCAAAAATACACACAGATACACACACGTGACTGCATAATAAGCAAGTGCTTGAAAGGCCTCAAAAGCAAACAACAGCAATAGCAACAGCAACACGAGTGGAACAAGCCACCTCAACGATTCTGTTTGGGTTGCTGATGATGCACAACCAGTCAGTGGATAGGGACAATAGGGGGTTTAAAACGGGGTTTAGAATGCCCCAAAAGGGGGGGGGGGGGGTGGTTTGGAGAAGGGAAGCCGGTGTTTGTGCATGTTTGCCGCATTCGGAGTGTACGCAAATTTGCATAGATTCAAGCATCACGTTCGCGTCTCACCTGTCCAAATGGGGAAAATCCATAGAGAGTTTCCCCTCTGGTAGAAGAAAAGCCAAGGGAAAAGGTTCAAAAATCCCGACGAGAAGACCCCACACAATGCCATTAGCAATTGTCTTTACATCCTGACATTTAATAAGCAAAATCAGTGAGGAACTTAAAAACAGCAAAAAAAAAATAAGAACTTTAGTATTCCATACATAGTGTGATTGTTAATCCATAGGTAATTTTTTTAGTTTCCCCAAAATGTTTAGAGATTTATAAAATATATGTTTTATAAAAGAAACTTTTGCAACTCAAGTGCTAACTTTAATCGATTGTCTGCACTTTGCGATTATTTTTTTTCTATTTCTTTATCGATATCATCTTTTAAAGATGGCTCTTAAGCTACAACAACCTCCCTTAAGGTCTTTTTGCCGCCCACGTCAACATTTTTTGAAATTGATGATGTCGACGCACATTATGAGGTTCAATATCCTGGATAATGACGACAAATTGCGCAATATTTGCACCAGACATCGGCCAAAGGGGGCATGTCCTTTAGGATCTTGTGGGCGGTGGGTTGGTTTGGATGTTGTTTGGTTTGGGTGTGTCATATAGCTCGAGTGTCCTTGGTCACCAACTTCACTGCTGTTACTGCGGTCAAACATGATTGATGAACGCTAATTAATGCGGCGGGCCTTGTCCTCGTCTCATTTCAATTCGCTCACAAATTGTGTAATTAATTCTCATCTCGAGTGTCCCTATAATTATGACGCGCACAAACATACAACCCCTCACAAATTCTCTTCACTTATTTTCCACCCAGCCACTTGAGAGGACCTCAATGTCGCGTTCATCTCGTTGAGTACCTACTGTAGTTGAAGGACTTTCGAAAAAAAAGATTACTTGGTTAAAGATTTTTTTTTTGATTTGAAATTGTTTTTTTTTTAAAACTCAAATATAAAAGCACTTTCTTTTATAATACTACTACAAGTTTGGGCTCGACAGTTAAATAACCCTATTATAACTACATTTCCTACATTTTCTCTGATACTTTTTCCTTATTTATGCCATTTCCTTATAACCATCTATATTACCCTATTTATCACTCAGCTTCGGAGGATTATTGAACTCGTGGGGGGTGGGGGGTTTCCAATCGCAACGATTTAAGGCCACCATTTTCCACGGTTAGTGTGGTTTCTTTCCCCTTTGTTCCCCTTCCGTTCCCATTCCATTCCATTTCGTTCCGTTCGCTCGGTTCGCTTTGCTTCAGTGGCAGACTGAATTGACAATCATTTTACACTTGGCAGGATATTATGTAAATTGCTTTTCATATTTGTGCAACATTTAAATTCGCACAAACACACACACACACACATATATATATATACACACACCAATACATAGAAATAAAGGAATGAAGTGGGAAAGAGAAAGAAAAGCGGATGACAGCTGCTTGAAAAAGTAGGCGGCGGAAAATTGTGGGGTGGAAAGTAAATCACGACTTTGGTCGATGGTAGATGGTTGATGGTAGATGGTGTTGATGTCAAAGCAAAAAGGCAAGGATGAATCCCGGCAACATCATTATAACGATAGGCAGCGGGCCCCAAAGGCTGATTGAATGCGAGACGGCCTGACTGAATGACTGACTGGCTGACAGGCTGAATGAACGAATGAATGAATGAATGAGTGAGTGAATGAGTGAATGAACCACTGACTACAGCACGAAAGAGACGACAGACTCTCGAACCGAAAGAGACGGTTGTATAGAGTGGAGGCCTAAGGGAGAAATTAACGACGCGTGAAAAGCCTATCGCCGATTTTCAAATGGGGCATGGCCACACTGCAGAAAAAAACCTATAGCAACCAAATTGAATTAAGAACTAACTATAAACTGATTATTAAGCGAACATAATTTTAAATGTACTTCCAAAAAAACCTTCAATATTTTCCAATTTTCAGAATCCATGTATTTCGAAGACCTGATTAGGAATAATTAGGTCGAAGAGCCATTTCTCAAAAATTAAAACGAAAAATATTGTTATTTTGACCATTATCAAATGATATTTCTAGCAAATGGAATATCAAATAATATTTCTGGCAAATGAAGAAGATATACATAACTTTTTCTGTTAAGTTAAAAGTTTATTAGATTTTTTATTTTTCACCAATGGGTACTTGTATGTCGACTTCTGTATAGCCCGAGAGTAACTGTATCTACATTTCCACCTCCCTTTAGGTGTGTCTGTGTTTTTTACGTTTCTCTCGATTTTACCAACTTTTATTTTTGTATTTTTCACAGCCTTGGCCAAAAAAAAAGTTGGGGGGAAAGAAAAAAAGGGAGAAAGCAATCGCAATGTGTCAGTTTTAATGGGCCTGCAATTGCCGCAGGCGCTTGATGTCGGTCTACGTCTCTGTCGCCGTCTCATCCTCCTCCCGTATCCCTATCTCTTTCCTCCTTTTCATGGCGAGGATTCGCTGGAACCGATTGGGTGCTAAGTGCATTTCCAGGCCGACAACTCCCAACCCCCTTTATAGAGTCTGCAATTAAGCCCCGGGCCAGAGGGCAATAGACAAAAATAAAAATACAAAAAAGGTATATGGCATACAGGCTGATTTAGGGATGCCAAATTACAAGCACATACACTAGACCCATCGAAAAATGGCCAACAATGTTTATTGGGAACAAGTTTTTAAAGAAGAAGTAGCAGGTTTGTCCCTCTACATATTTAAGAGACTGGCATTTTTCAATACATTTACACAGTGTGCTGAAGGTCTGTCATATAACATTAAAATATATGTGGACACCAGTTCAAGGAGCCTAAGAGTTTGGCTACTGAACACTTGAATATAGTTTTTGAACCAGAACTAAATAACCACCATATCATATATATGACACAAAAAATGTAACTACAATAACAACATCAGTCTCTACATAACAATAAAAACTACATTTAGTTTTGTAGGAATTAAAAATTGTTGGCAATGAAAAGCACACACATGAACACAATTAACCGGAAATTCGAGTAAAATAATTAAATATCAAATATCCAATTTTTTAACGTTCCGGAATGACTGATATATACAATACCATTGGCCAACTGAGCTTCATTTAATCACAAAAAAATTGCAGCGTTAATTTATTTGAGCGGGGACACTTTGCTAATTGGTTTCATATTATGCATACGCTCTGTGGTTCTGTATGTTGGGAATTTTCTTTTTCGTAAAAACATATATCAATTTAAAGCATTCTGTATCAATTGGTGATCTACCTCATGTGACAATAACCAATTTTTGTATATTAAGATTCCTTTACTTTCTCGAAGAAAGATGGAAAAAATACCGAAGCATATAGCCATAAAAAATTCACAAAATTATTATAAACTTAAAATATTTTAAAAACGTCACACAAATAAATTATTCACAAAATCTTTAACAATTAATTAAAATGTGATAAAATCCCTAGCGACATTTCCTGAAAATAATTAATCGAAAAAACCAATAAACCATTTGAATATCTGCCAGCGAGCAAATTCAATTAACATCACTCACTGCCTGTGCATTAAATAAATGTTTTAAATTTTGACTTTGATTTCATTGTTCGGAAATCGGTTTTCCCCCACGACAAATCAACCAAACTGTCCAGATACTTGGAATACCTTATATGTTTTGGGTTTGGGATTGAGATTCATAAATCTGTTGGGTATTTGCTCTTCATTATCTTCGCTTAGAGGGACTCACCTGTAAATAGAGGAAAACAGAGAGGAAAAAAGGCGTTAGTGAGTGGGTAAAAAATTTGTGTAGACAAGCTGAAAATCTTTATTACACACGCCCAAATGTTCTCCTTTTTTTTTTTAGGGGGGCGATATGGGGAATGGCTTATGGTTGTGGGTTTAAAAAGGGCCCATAAACTAGGTCAAAGGTACACCCCATGCATGCCTGGCAAAAATTTAGTTATAAAATCCCAAAATCAGCTTGCCGCAGGCATGGCTCTGCGAAATGTATTTGCCTATTTACAGCCTATTGCACATTTTGATGGCAGACCCAAAAAAAAAAGTAGGAAAAAAAATGGAAAAAAAGAAAACTAAGTCGAGCGCAAACCGAAAACTAAATTGAATTGTGCCATGTGGGGGGAGATGAAAATATGGGTGTGGGGTGTGCGGAGTGTGAGTGTGGGGGTATGGATTTTTGGGTCTCTCTCCCTTGATCTCTACCCTATGGAATTTGTATTTTTGCGGAATCTGATACTCCCCACCCTCACCGACTTACCGAGAATGCTTTGAGAAATACCAAACACTGTATGATGCCCTCCATGGTGTCGCCCGTTAGGCAGAAGGTGCCCGTTAGATGGCGCCCCTTGCGGCCGACTGTCGCCGCCGCCAGCGAGGCATGGACCAGCGCCCTCTGTTGTCCATTCCCGGCGGTGGCCATTGTTGTACCGCTCACACCGCCGCCCACACTGACCATGCCCTTGCCAGCGGCGGCGGCTGCGGCGGCCGCGGCTGTGGCCACGACGCCACTGGTCAACATTCGTGGCAGAGGCGCTGCTCGCATCAGACGCTCCAGCGAGTCCATGGCGGGGTGTTATCGGTATCGTTATTGTTTGTTATCGCTTATCGGTATAATCGTTGATTTTGTTTTTTGTTCTTTAATTTGTATTTAAATCGATTCCTTGTTATTTCGTTTTGTTTTTTTTTTTGTTGTCGTTTAGTTGCACTCGAGTTGTTTGGTTTTTCTGGTTGTGGTTATTGTTTTTCTTAGTCTGTCAACAGCGCACATTTTACTCAACTGCAAGGAATTTTTTTTTTTATTTTCGATTGTTGAAGAGAAAAAACCCACAAAAACCGAAAAACAATACCAATCACAAAAAAACTTTGCAATACAATTTGCCAACAAGTTAAATAATAACAAACTAGATGGTAGAAACTCACAAAAAAAAAAAAGAAAAGAAAATAGTAGGAGAAATACATGGTTATCGGTCAACGGCAGGCGAACAACTGAAGCTGCAGCAAAACAAGTGACCCACAAGTCACAACTACTACGGTCCATATATAATTTATAGCCAGGACATAAACAGAGACAGGGAGAGAGAAAGGGATGGAAAACATTGGGGGGTCTCTATGAGGACTATCAATAACCAGCAGAAAGTAGGCAACGAAAACACCATAAAGAAATGAACAGAATGAGACGAGCAGTAGTAGAAATGAACTGCGAAATGCAAAATGTCATTGTGATGACTTTGTGGCCAGCATTTGGGCACTTTGTATACCGAAAAATACGAGCATATTCCAAAAGAAGCCAACATGACGGCAACTGAGAGCATCAGTCATGCCCCCAACACTCCCCCCCCCCCCCAAATACCCCCACGAACTTTTGACCGCTGACTGGGGACTAATAAAATTCAAGTTAAATGGTTGTTAAAAATTTATAGCAGACGCCTCGGCTTCCGTGTGCCATTTTGAAGGCATTGAGAAAACAGCAACAGACGTTACAAACAGCAAGGCAGGGGCGGAATTTCAAGGGGGGGTTATAGGAGGTGGAGAAAAAAAGGGGGTCGTATGGAAGTAGTCGAAAAACTGACAGGGGGTCCTATCCGAGTTTGTGGTCCTGCCGCATTTTCCAGGCAAGCCACATAAATTTTAGGTAAGCTGCTTGCCGATTAAAAGAATATTTTACGAATGGCTAGATTTACGGAATCCATTTTTGTGCATAAATATAGATTCTGTTAACCACAGGTTAATTATTTAACTACAAGTTTTCGGTACTTTAAGAGGATTGAAATTTATCTGACAACAAAATTACAGACTTATGGCACAAAGGTTAAATTTTTAAAATTTTGCATTTTAATTTAGCCTTGGGTTAAATAATAAAGTACTAGTCATTAAAGTCGTAACCACCAGTTTATTCTAATAAAAAATACTTTAGTTCGATGTTAATACAGCTTTATAATACAGTTACTGACTTTACGCACTCATCTGAATAATTCAACTTAAATGCTGGTTTAGAAAATAAATAATGCCTTCTTTGATGCCTTCTGATTGACTTAAATTTACATACTGTAGGCTGACCAAAACTAAACCAACAAACTCGAAATAACTTTAAAATTCTTCAGACTTCTGTATTCTACTTTGATATGATATGCGCCAAAGAATTTTCCCTTGAGCTAAACAAAACCAAGTGGAAACTTTTGCCGCCTGACCAAAGGCCTCATATATGTGTGTTTTCCCCATCTTATATTTTGTTTTCCGTTTTTTTTTTTAGTCCTGGCAGCAGTTACAGTTGAAGAAAAATAAGCATACAGCTGCTTGACAGTCAGACAGGCAGGCAGTCTTTGGTGCTCTGGTTCCACTGACTTTGGCCATAGCTTTTCCTATAGCTTTTCCTACAGCTTTGGCTTTGGCTCTTCCGCTTCCATTGGTACTGGGCGCTTCGAGCGTAATTTATCTGCTGGAGGGGCTATGGGTATGGAATCCTTCCTGTCAACAGGAGTCCTACGTTCCGAGTTCTCCTTGGCCATGGGTAAAATTTATGCAAACCGACGTATGGCCAACAGGATGAGAGAGAGGATGAAATATATGTTCAGTGGAACTCGAAGATGGGCCACATGGGCAAAAAAAAAAATAGAAGGGGAATGGAAGGGGAAGGGAAGTGGAAGGGAAGCGGAAGGGAAGTGGAAGGGAAGGGGAAGGGAAGGCCAGTGTATTAACTGCAGCTAAATCAAACTTTTGAGCCAAGTTATGAATTATTTGCCATTGTGCAGCAGGCGAAACATTTCTTTGCCGCTGACTTTGTCCCTTTTTGGCAGGAAGCCCGGTTCTGTTTTTCTTTTTCTACCCCCATTTACCACCCAGGAAGGACATTACGATCCACCTGCCGAGTCATCCGAACCTCCCCTCACCCAAGCCAAGTCAATTTGAACAACATTTTGCCGCATCTCTTGTTATACAAACAAGATTCCACATTCCGTTTCTTGGCTCTCGTCTTCTTCCTCGAAAGGCTTTTCGTTTTCTTTCTTATTTTTCTGTCTAGCTGTGATGATTTGCCATTTGGGGACGAACGGTCTGGTCCGAGAGGCACGTAAATTGAATGGACGGGGCCAAAAGGTTCCAAGGGTAAACAGAAAAAAAAAATAAGAAGCAAAAAAAACTCCAGCAAAAATTAAGTGAAAATAATAAACCCTTGGCACACACACAAACACTCATTCTCTAGGGGTGGTGGTGAATGGGTAATGAAAAAGGTAAAGCAAAGGGGCATTACACACACGTTGACCAACGGATGTCCTGCCGCCTGATGGCATTACAGTTAATTAAAGGTGAACCGATAGTCACAAAGTCCTGCCAAATCGCACAGTGGGCTGGAAAAGGCTGATCATTTAAATCACTTTGTGGCCCACAAAGGGGTTATCTATCTATCTATCTGTTATCGAATCCTTTTATCGAAATGTACTCTTAGGTGATTTATTTCTGGGAAGGCGTAAGAACTTGACAAAACAGTAATTACCGATATGTAAGGAGTAAGACTACCAATTAGATTTTAAGAAAATCCAATTCACCAATAAAAAATAATCGTTAATAACAATCGAAAATGTATCATCACAAAAATAAATTCGATATCGATCAACAATATAAGCTTAATATATTTTATAACTTGATAACATATTAGCTATCTATAAAATATTGAATTAATAATCGATCACTTTGAAAACTTATCGATTGTTGTTATCTTCACGTTTTTGGTAGCTTTATGACTGTTGTGACTTTTTTAAGGTAGTTTCCTGAAGTTATTGGACCAAAATATAATTTCTAGTGAACCGGAAATTATCCCATGGTGACTGTGCGTATGTGAGCTCCACCAGTGTGTGTGTGCTCACATTTTTGTGTCTGTGTGTGGGCCATGGGCAAACTGGAAACTTTGCAAATGAATGGCAAGGCATTGGAAATAATGAGCCGTATTTACATTTCAAAGCGCTCACACAGGCGAGAGCGGTAAAAGTTTTTAGCCTCCTTCCCCAGAGGACCCAACCCAAGGCAAAACCAACCCGTAGGTCGAAATCAGTTACGGAACTCTCAAATCGAGAAGGATTGCGAGCAAAGAGGGATAAACAACCAAGGGTAGTACCCAGTAATAGTAGTAGTAGTACACACATGGGGATGGGGGTCAAAACTAAATCTCCTCCAGAGTTTGTGGGGAGTAAATTGCGAAAGCTTTCGGTGGCAGGATTGCATATAATTTGTTTTATGGCCATGGCGTGCACATTAAACGCGCACTTAATCACACGCAATGGGCGTGGCACCATCCACCCCGCCCACCACCATGGTCCACCATGGTCCTCCTCGTCGTCTGTGGCGACAAATCAAATTGATTTCGTTTTTCTGGTTTCCCTCTGCCTTTTCCCAATTTTTCCCTCTTTTTTGCCCCTTTTGTTGTGCTGTTTTGCGCCTTATTAAATCACTTTTATTACCATTGAAATGTGGAGAAAGTTTTTGCTTTTTTTTTTGCGAAGGCGGCACAAGATGTGCTGTATATGTAATATGGTTTTTAGCAGTTCACCAAAAAAAAAAATTCATATTTATGGCAAAAATATCTTGCTCAGTTCGATGAAGTACACACATCATTGTATGCATGTCTGGCAAAGAGGAGTAAACGATATTGAGGCGTAATATTTTGGGAAACCCATGGGCGATTTGGTCGGTGGTTGTCCATGGTGAAGCATCCTTTGGCCCACGGCCACCACACACCAATCTGCAATCTCAGTGGCATCTTGAATATCGAATATCGAAGAAGATGTATGTGTCTTTGTGCGCCTGACAACCGCCACACAAATAGAAAAGACAAATACCAGAGGCTGAATATTGAGTCAAGGGTTTCGGATTCCGTCTCAACTTTCCACAGATGACTCAAATTGATGCACAAAAAAAAAATAAAGCTAGATATTTATAATGAATCCCAAAAATAGAGCAAAACTACTGACAAAGAAACAAGAAAAATTTAGGAGTTTTGAAATCACTTTTAAATACAATTTTAGGTGTCAAAAAATATGCAGTGAGTAAAGGAATAAATTAATTCATAGTGCTTGTTAATTAACAAAATACTGTTGCATACTTTTCGACACCTAAAATGACATTTAAAAGTTATTTTAAATTCTTTGTGATTTCTGCGGCACCCCTGATTATGTATATTGCATTTTTATTTTTCAAGCATTTCTCAAGAGGCCGTGGTATAATAACGCCGCTTAAAAAATGTTGAACCATTTTTTCCCATTATCCTTTTTTCGCCAACCTAATCTGCAGGCGGCCAAGAGGTTTCCACCCACAAAAAAAAAATATATATATATTATAAAAGGAAAAAAAAAGTACCACCGACCCCTAGATTTAGCCACAGCGTTTCAGCGAGGCGTGTAATTAAATTTTCATGCCACCTGCCTGAGGGTTGAATTTCCAGGGAGGTGGGCGGTAGTTTGGGGGGGGGTTGTTTTAGGGGCGGAATATGGGAGTGGCACATACAAAGAATGCAAATTGTCGGGGCTATTCCAAAATGCAAGCATCAACGCCTTCGAATGCAGCCAAAGCAGACGGAAGTAAATGCAGCAGCTTCCCCTATTTTCCCACTACTTTTCCATTTCCATTTTCCTGCTTCCTCTTTCCACTAGTTTTTCCTCCTCACCTGCCACTCGACGAAAAACGACACTCAAGTGGTCAGGTGTTAAGAGGTAGGAACACTGTACTTGAGCATAAATTGCTGCCAAGATACTTGGTAATCATATTTTTGGGTTTTTTAAAGTTTTTCAC